TGATTTTTAAAGAGATGAGTAGAGTCAGAACTGTGACTTAGCAAAGTCATGGTCTAAAATGGGAAAATAAGCTTAGCAAAGTCAAGAGAAGACAGGAGAGTGAGTCTAAGATATAAAAAGATTTTGGCTCTAAGCACCAGCAGTAATGATGAAAAGGGGACAGAATGAAAAGATACTTTTAAAAATAAGGTTTATAGCTAAGGAGAAAAGGGAGTGGAGGAGTGAAATCAAAGGTAATTATTTTAAAATTTCTATTAGAAGACTGCAAAGTCAGAAAATGAGAATGAGAGGTACCCTCAGCCATGCCGGGCTGACAGGAATTTGAACATTTCCAAGCCATTCATTATTGCTTAGCTACTTGCTAAAGACGTGAGACAGACAAGGGGTACAGATGGCCTCCTGAAACCTGAGCCCTGCCTCTGCGCCTCTCCTTACTGTGTTTCCTCAGCGTCTTACACCATCACTCTGCAGAGTTAAAATCATCTGGCAGTCAAAATCTTCCGCAAATGTTACTATTAATGATGAAAATCATGCTTTACTAAGATACAGCTGCTGTGAATGGAAGAATAATTCCAGGTTTTAAAATCCAATAAGGGCGGGGTCCTATCTCAGCTCCTGCTATTTGCTAGCCATGTGACATTCAATAAGGCACCTACGCTTCCAATTTTCCTTCCACATTCACCTTCCAGGAAATTTGGGAGGAATAAAGTAGGCAATGTATGTGACTGACTCACCATGTATTGCAGATGCATAGAGGAAAAGAGAATTTCTGCAGACCTAGGCCTATGTACTTTATACTAATTAGCTCACAAGGCTACCTATGATGTAGGACACAGATGATACATGGAAGTTGGTTTTAGTTTTTTAAAAAATAGTACTTTTTAGTCTCTGTTTTTACTTGCAGGAGAAAAAAGATGAATAAATCACTATTTCATTAGAAATCTTCTATCCTTTTACAACATTTTAAATTATAATTTCTAATCAAATTTCCAATCAAATTATTGAGAACACAGTATGCATTATTTTAAATGCATTTTTTCTTAATTGGGGCAATCCTATTTATTGGAAAAATACTTTTGGAAGATGCACTTTAGAACTCTTCTTTACTAAGTAATTTAATGCATATTTTATAAACTTTTTTAAAGTTTTCTATTAATAATCCAAAAGCAATCAGACCATAATACAATCTGCTATGGTTTACATCTGGATATCCCATCATGCACCCATAGGTGGGGCTTTCGAGAGGTGATTGGATCATCAGGGCTGGATCATGGATCATTATGGATTAGTCCACTGATAAGTTTAGCTTTAAATGTGATACTGGGGACTGAAGCCTGGTCAGAAGTGTCAGGTCACTGGGAGTGTGACCTGGAAGGGTTTATCTCTCTTCCCAGATCCTTTCTTCAGACTCTGCTTTCTCTCTCTTCCTTTCCCTGTTTCTCACATGCCATGAGCACTCCTTCTCTGCCATAGTCCTCTGCCATGCCATCCTGCCTGGAGCCAGAGGACCATGGACTGAAACTCTACAACACTTTAAGTCAGGGTATTGGGTATTCCCAGGGAGGAGAGAAGTAATGAAGTTACAGATGGAACTAAAACAATTGTCTTTTGAAAGTATTTTATGAGTTTTGCTATTCTACTTTTACTGTTACACTGAGGCATATAGAAAGAAAGGAAAATATTCCACACCAAGTCCCTCAGTGAGTACAAATAGTTTCCTTCACAAATAATAAATTTTAAGGAAAATATTTGAACTTTATTTACCCTTTGTATTTTGGCTATAGATTGTCCCAACAGAGAAAAAGGAAAAATAAAATTCTTCCAGTATGTCAGTGTAATATAACTTCTGCTTCCTATTAAGTATTCATCTTAGAATGTTTGGCACCTACAATAATCCTTCAATAATATTTATGAATAAATACACCCTTATCCAACACATTAATAAAAATACACACATTTATAGTCAGTTGAAATTCTTCATCAGAAAATAAACAATCACAATGTACACTTCCGAGGCCAAATTTCCATTATACAAAATAGTTTTTAAAATCATAACATTTACCATAATAAAATCAACACAAAGTTTTCTTACATTGGAATACTTATGAAGCCATCAAAAGTCACAAAACAGCATTTCACCTATTAGAGTCTTAGGCTTAAATCAAGTTATGAATAGCATTTTGTAAGTTTAGGTGGAAATATAACATGAATGATACTCAAAAAAGTGTTTTGTGTGTTCACATATAACAGAATTATAAGGGATTTCACTTTCCTTTTTTTTTTCTTGTGGCACCAGGGATGGAACCCAGGGCCTTGTTACTACAAAGTGATAGCTCTGTCGCTGAGACATAGCTCCTCAGTTTCCTTTAAAACATATTATGTTATTTTAATGTTCTACAAAAGACAAGCATTCTTACTGTATTTGTTCAACACATGTTTATTGTGTAGCTACAGTAGTACCAGTAACGGAGCAGATTCCTCAGTGAACCCAATAAATTAGATTCCTGATATCATTTCATACCCGGCATATTTACAAATACTTTTTCTACACAGGCATACAGCACACACACATACACACATTTAAAATGTCAATCCACGGGCTGGGGATTTAGCTCAGCGGCAAAAAGTGCCTGCCTGGCAAGCGCAAGGTCGTGAGTTCGGTTCCCGGTACCCGAGAAAAACCAAAGAAACCAAAAAAAATAAATAAATAAATAAAATAAAATGTCAATCCGGAACATGTTGGTAGTAAAATGGTAAAAAAATTGCTATTTAATGAAAATTGGTACCTTTTCCTTAGAAAAACTTAAAGCATATATTTGTTGATGAAATATTTATACTTTTAAATTCATTTATTAACTTCAAAGGAATATCATATAATTAAGTGAAATAAAGATGCATACATGAAAATATTTGCTGTGTTTCATAATAGGAAAATACTGCATTATAATTCGCATTTAAATATAAATATTAATATAGAAAAGCGGAACAATGTTATCCCAGTAAAACCTCCTTACAAACATCTTTGAGTTATTAATTCAGGTTAGATACAGGAAAATTACACAGTACAGCGTTGCTTATAAGTTGAAGATGTAAATGTTCCACTTTAGCCTCATTTGCAAGAAAATGCTTGATATTTACATAACAAATAATGTTTTGGAATTTATTTTTGAAAATGTTTTATCTTAATTCCTTAAAGGGCAGTCATGACCAGTTTGAAACTTACACACCACTGGGCAACATTTGCATAAACTAGCTCCTTTACATCACCCACTCCCAAGCACATTCAGCTCACACTTACTGGGCCGCACTGCCTGGAGTCCTTTCTCATGGGAAAGTCTCTCTGAGTCGTGGTCTCTTTACTTTCCCTTCTCTCTTATCTCACTGGACTGACCTGTTGAAAGCATTTTCCTCTTTGAAGAACTGAGGAAAATATCAGCTCTTTCGTACAAATGCTCAAAGTAGCCTTCGTTTCTCCCTACTGTTTACTTGTGCTCACCACGTTTCTTTTGTTTTTGTGGTTTATCCAGTATATGTTTTTCCTCTCCACTTATGTTGTAAATCTTTCAATGGAGATTTTGTGATTGAAAGTTGTAATCCCTAAAACTCAAACCAAGCACACAATTTATTCCTCCTGGGAGCATGGTACATATTTATTAGCTTAAATTGATTCAATTCAGTATCTGTACATGGCTCTGGGAATATCTATCCCAAGAGAATGAAAGAAAGCAAGATTTGTTACAGGTGTATCTGAGTCCGTGTAATTTGAGATATGTGCCAAAATATTACATCCAAAACTTATAGACTAAAAATCGATATGGTATTTTTAAGGAGTTCTTACATTTCTCTGGCATAGCAATTAATGTTTGTATATTATAAATATAAAATTTGTAATTTCAAACATAATAGGCATTGTTATAAGTGTAGTGTCCCTGGTCTCTGGCTTTTCCTATCTTCAGTTTCATGATGTAATTACTTACACACCAGTGAATATTTCTAGCTTTGATGGAATTAAATTTCATACGATGCAGTTACTATTATTGAGCAGAGGGCCACATCTTCCAGTACTTCCCAATGGACTCATGACAATCTCCTTGGTGCTGTGACATTGGTTTACATATTAGTCACTTTCCTGTCACTGGAATAAAATACCCAATACACACAACTTAAGAGAGAAGAGGTTAATTTGAGTTCACAGTTTCAGTGGGTTCCGTCTATGCTTGGTTGGTTCCAGGTACCATGGGGAATGGCAGAACAAGAAGGTGGAGGAAAGCTATTCACTGTATGGCTGCCAGGCAGCAAAAGAAGCGAGGAGCTAGGATTGAGTATACACTCCTCCAAATCAGCCTCCAGGGACCCATCGCTACCTCTGAACTTGAGACTGGGGGTATACTTTAGATCCAAACCATAACCGTTCCCAGAAAATTTACTCCAAGACTCCACATACCTTCTATATATGAGCTTCCATTGCTTGGTGCTCGTTATCTGTGCCATGATGGCATCAGCGCCATCACTGCAGTTATGAGACACAGATTAATAGTTCGTAATTGAGTTTTTCTCAAGATAGGTCTCAAATTGTTATTCCAAGACACATTAAATTATGCTTTCATTCAAAATCTGTAGTTTTAAATAATAATTTTATCTAGTCATGCCTCTGGCAATCTTTTAAAATATTACTATTAATAATTTAAACTCTTTTACCTTTATTGGGTAATCATATTAGGGACTGAACTTTTTCTTCAAATCCAGTATTAAAAGAATTAATTCTTTTGACTCAACTGCATGTTTGAACATGTAAAATGTTATTTTAAATGTGTGACAGGAATTACTCTTGCACATCTAATCTACATTGTATATATTAAATATATCTTTTGAATGCTAATCCCATTAGGACTTCAGCACTGATACTGAGCTCGAAAATTGAATATTTTTAAAAAAATCTACCATTCATTTCTAGGTCAAGATGACTTACATAAGTTTTCATTTATTTTCTTGCCAAAAAGTTTTTGATATTACAAAAGAACCAATGCTACCTCTGAACCAATGCTACCTAGAAAAACTAGAAGGATTCCATCCCGAGGACAAGGAGAATTTCTTAAACACATAAAGCAGATGGGATTTAATTGGAAAGGAAACCCCACAGAGGTAAGCAATTGACAACTCAATAGGAACGTCTGAAAAAAGGAAAGTTTTCCAAATAGAACACCCCAAACCTCCCAGGATCAGAGAAAGTCTAGCTTGGGAACCAGGGTAGCCCCTGGGGCAATTGGCAAGGTAATTAATTAAAGAGCTCTAAGCCTACTGTGCAGGGATACAATTCTCAGGAGCAAGCTGAGGAGCTCTAAATTAAACGGGAAGCCTGCCTTGGGGAACTCCCAGGGTGAGCTTGGTGCCAGGGAGAGAAGTAGGGCAATGCCCCAGTCAACTTGCAGATACAAAGTAGACACAAAGTTCCCTCAGAGAGATTATTGAAACATTAGTCTTTACATAAAAGATAAAAATGACAGTAGAAGCTATTTAAATATGTTTAGAAACTTGGATGAGAAAAATCATCATCTTTATACAAATTCCCAAAATCATAAAGGAAAGCTTGGCATATTTGACCATACTATATATTAGTGATATTAGGAAAATAACACTATTATTAATCTTAATTGAAAGTAAATTGATTCAAACTTTTTTGTAGTAAAGTTTGGTGTGATTTATGACAGTATAGCATTTTAGTATAAAATTAGCAAAACCTATCCCCTTCTACATGAGGGTAAACTTTAAATTAACAAAATAGCTGTCTTTCACAGGAAATGTGATAAAGATAAAATGCCAGCAGTGTTACAAGGCTAAATTGTGAGTACACCCCTCTAGATTGGTAGTAAATAGATAGTGAAAAACCATAATCTGGGTGTCCTTGGGTGTTGTAACTCTCAGTGAAGGAAAATACCTAAATTTCTTCCTAGAAAACTGGGCTTCCTTTTCTATATTCTATATTCCTTACTCTAATGGAATATGATATTTGGTGTGACCTGTACTAATCTTATAATCTTGAACACATAAATAATCTGTTAAGATCTCTGATAGCCATTGAAAACTTGCACAAGTCATCTGAATTTCTTAACCCTAAACAATAACATTCATACATGTATAGTAACATGTTTAGAATATGAAACCCTTATGTGCATCCAGAAATAGCAAGAATGAAACTTGAATACACTATGTACTATTTTGTATATTCTAATAGAATGAAATAGATTTGTGTCACTTAAATGTAAAAATGCCCATGAACAATTCTCCAGTATAAAGAACGTGGTGGAAAATAATATGTGTTCATTCTTCTATACATGTATGTGTTTCAGTCTCCTCTAAGACTTAGGTTACTCTACATATGCACACACCTGATTGACTAATCCCCTATAACATCAACTACTTAACAATTCCAGTCTTTCAGGGAAGTAGATCTGGCACTTCTGCCACTATTTCAGAAAACTGAATATTTTTACATCATTCTTATGAATGTCTTAGCTAACATAATCTTTGAGAAACTACTGATCTGATGATACTTTAACTCACAAAAGGAATCTCCAGTTTAGACTGGTTGTACACTAAAATAATCATAAAAGATTTACAGAATATCAGTGTTGCAAGTGATGTCAGCAAGAACATAGAACAGGAGGTACTCAGCCCTTTTGTTTCCCCCACAGGGACATGATTTTGCAACCATCAGTGGACAAAAGTGCCTTTGGGTTTTAGGTAGGAGGCTGAGAAATCCCAGTGGAGGCTAAAACCAAGGAAAGCTTCTTTGGGAAGGCAAGCCCATGCCCATGTGGCAGGCTCACCAATCACAGTCCCAGGTGCAGACTCAGATACAGTCCCTTCTACTGTGTACTCAGCTCTAGCCTTGCTGTCTGTGGTTCTACCACCAGCATCACACCCTCAAGAACACAAAAGAAACCAGTGCTCGTCCTAGACCCAGGTAAGAAACCTATAATCTGCAGTCAGCAAAACCTCCATGATCAAAATTAGACAGTTAATTTAAGAAATAGAACAAAAAAAAAAAAAAAAGGAACATGGAAAAAAAGAACTAGAGAAATCCTGGAGCTGGAGACTACAGTGAAATTTTCAGTACAGATCACTAAATGTAGACTTAATTATGCAGAAGTATCAGTGAGCCCTAAAACAATGTATTTGAAATATTCCATTAGAGAAATAATAAGTGAAAAGAGAACAAAAGACTTATAAAGCATCACCTAATAAAATGATACATGCACTATGAAAAAGAGAAAAGAGTAAAAAAAAAAGAATAATAGCTTAGAACTCTCCCACTCCATGGGGAGTAATGAATGCTTTGATTTGTGAAAGTCACAAGTCTCCAAACAGATTGTACCCAGAAGCATCTATAGTGAGATAGAATTAAAATATCAAAAGCTGGAGAGATAAGTTTGCAAAAACTAAAACAACTTGTCATTTACAAGGGAAGCTATATAAGACTAGCAATTGATTTTTTCATCAGAAAACTTACCAGCCAGGACAGAGTGAAATGATATATACAAAGTATCAAAAGCAAAACTGACAGCCAAGAATGCTTAAACAGAAAAACTGTCACTTAAGAATGAAGAAAACAATGCAAATTTGTTATACTACTAGTGTCTCTTAGAAAAGGATGAATTTTGCTAATATCGGATGAAACAATTTTATGCCCATCTCTTGTACTCTGAGTAACTACTTTAAAAATAACAATACAAGTGCATTAACTACTGTTATTCTACCATTATTTTGTTATGAAATTTTGCTTTACTTTTTTCCATAAAAAAGAATCAAGAAACAGATAAAAACTTTTCAAACAAACAAAACCTGAAAGAGTTCATTACCAGCAGACCTACCTTGTAAGCAGTTCGAGTTCAAGTGTAAATAAAAATACATTAAACAGTATGAAAGTGTATCAAAGTATAAATCTCACTGCTAAAGATAAACACAGAATAGCATACTATTATAATGTTAGCACATAAATCACATTTAACAATAATGTGTAAGGCATGACTGAAAACTACAGTAAATGTTTAAAAGTGTTTTGTTATATTAAAAGACAAATCATAATACTCTTCCTCGGTTCATGCACACTTATCCCACCATTCTTTCTGAAGTAGTTCTAGAAGTCCTTTTTTGTGAGCTGACATCATTATGAAGTATGAGCAAAAATATGATAAATATTGCTGCTAAATCCCAGCCGATGGAAAGACAGGCTCATAAAGACATTCTAAGGTCTCTCCATTCTCATTTATAGAATCTATTACCATACAACTTCTGACTCTTCCCCAAAATCAAAATGTGCATGAAAGGTAAATATTTCAAATGGACTCAGAATAGAAAGGCAGCCATGACTGTACAACTATAGACACAAGAAAAGACTTCTAGTGCCACTCCAGAAAGTGGCAAGATTGATGAGCTCTACGTGTTCGAAGGGAGGGGGAATATTTTGAAGAAGATTAGTAGCAATGTGTCATTTACTGTATTTTTAAATACATATTTTTCATCATATATAAATTAAAATATAAAAGGTGAGAAATAGCTATAACTACGGAAATTTGTTAGTGGAAAATAATACAGAAAGAAACACAATCTGACACCAATTACATAAAATATAGAGAGGGTAAGGTACAGTCTTTGCATATTTGATTGAACTAAAAGAGCTATCAGTTTAAAACACACTTCTGTAACTCAGATGTGTTCAACGTGAGTCCCTTAATAATCAAAAACAGAAAAAGTATGTTGTATAAACAAAAGATAAAGAAGAACCAAAGCAGACCACTACCAAAAAAATCATCCAGTCATAAAGATAACAAGAGGAGAAAAGAATAAGAAAACTAGAGATGAAAAATATTAACAAATTGGCAATTATAGACACTTAATTATTAATAACAACTTTAGAGATAAATGGCATAAACTCTTTGATCAGAGGACATAGATAGGTTAAACGGATTTATAACAAGACCCAACTATCTATGGTGTGTGCAAGAGACCTGTTATACATTTAAGGATACACATAAGCTGTAAATGAAAAGGTGGAGGGAGAAATTGCATGTAAATGGTAACCAAATGACATCATTAGTGACTTTGTACGTATCAGATATGATAGATCTTAGTGAAAAACAGCCACAAAAGATGGAGCTCATTGTATAAGGGTAAAAGTGCTGGTTCAACAAAGATACAACAATTATACACACATCAAATGTTAAAACTTGTGCAAGAATAAAGCAAATATAGACAGGTCTAAAAGTAGAAGCACATATCAATACCTTGATAGTAGAAATGTACATCATCTAATGCTAGAGTCAATAAGTAACAGAGCTGAACAATGGTAGAGATACAATGCACCCAACAGACATGCACAAAACTTTCCGCTTGACAGCAGCAGTCACATCATTGTCAAGCAAACACGGAACATTCTCCAGAAAAGATAACATTTTAGGTCACAAAACAAATCTTACCATATTTAATGAAACTGAAATCATTTCAAGTAACTTTTCAAACACAATCATAGGAAGTCAAAAATCAATAAGAGTAAATGAATGGGGCAATTTGAAAACATATTCATATTAAAAACACTACTGATAAACTACTGGAATGAACAGATATCAAAATGGAATTTTTTTTAAATGTTGAAACTAAACTGAAAACATAATTTAACAAGATATATGGATAAAACAAGGCAATAATAGTAAGTGGGAGGCTTACAGCAATAATCACCTGTATTTTAAAAAGAAATAATTTCAATGAACAAACTACCTGTATACTTCAAGAAACTTAGTGAGAGTAAGCACAAAAGAAGAAAGAAATTGTTAAAAATTTCAACAGGAATAAATCATTAAAAAACTCAACCAACCTACGAGCTAGGATTTTTGTTTTTCCTTCTGTTTGGTTTTTGTTTGGGGAGGTTTATTTGTTTTTATTTTTGCAGTCCTGGGTCCTGAACACAGGGCACTCTGCCCTGAACTTCAGGTCCAGCCTTTCCTTTCTTCTTTAAACTTTGAGACTGGGCATTGCTAAGTTGCCCATGCCGGCCTCGAATTTATGCTTCTGCCTCAGCCTCCCAAGTAGCTGGAATTATAAGTGTGTAGCACCTTACTGGTTAGAGTTCTTTTTATTAAGATAAAAAATTACAAACCCTACATATACAGACTAAGCAAAAGAGAGAAGATTGAAATAAACAAAGCCAAAGATGAAAGAGAAGACATTAAAATAGATGCCTGAAAAATAAAAAGATCATATGGTATTATTATGACCCATAATACATTGACAAATTGGAAAACAAAAAATGAATAAATTATTAGAAACACGCAACCTACTAAAACTGACTCAAGAGGAAATAAAAAGTATGTACAGATCAATAAGAAATGAAATTGAATTAGTAATCAAGGTCTTTTTAACAAAACCCAGGACCAGGTGGGCTCACAGACAAATTTTACCAAATATTTAGAAAAGTATAGTCTTTCTTAAACTCTTTCATGAAGTACAAGAAGGAACACTTCCAAACTCATTTTATGAAGACAGTGTAGTCCAGAAATAGAATCACACAAACAGCCCAACAAGTTTTGTACATTTTCAACAAAGGCACTAAAATTCCTGAAGGATAGACATTTCAGCAACTGATGATGGAGCAACTGGATATAAAGAGGCAAAACCATGAAAGCTGGCCTAAACCTCACATTTTATACTAACCTTATCATCAAAGGAATCATGAGAAAATAAAACTGTTAGGAGGAAGTCAGAGATATTCTAGAGTTTAGGAATGAGAAAACAGTATGTGGATTTGATATCAAAAGCATGATCCACAAAAGGAAACTATGACAAGCCAAATTTCACCAAATTAAAAGCTTTCACTATGTATAAAATTCTGTAAAGGTAGAAAAGAGAATGCATCAATGTGGAGAAAATATTTGTGAACTACACATGAAAAAGAAATTATTCTAGAAAAAAACAAAGAATTCTGTGTGCTTACCAGTACACATAGGACAAAGTCTAATTAAAAAATGTGAACAAATATAGTTCCATGGGGAGTTATAAATAAGCACATGAAAATATTCGATCACTCATACGTTGCTGATGGTGATATAATATGGTACAATGCTTTGAAAACAATTCAAAAGTTTCTTACACACCTAAGAATCAAAGACAATGTAATCCAGCGATTACACAATTGTTTATCCCTTAAAATGAAAACCTAAGCACACAAAAAGCAGTTTTTGTGTAATTGTAGCAAAATGGTTATAGCAATTTTACTTGTGGGATTAAAACACTGAAAACAATCCAATGTTCTTCAATGGGTGAATAATTAAACATGCTGTTAAACATAATGCACTATGAATAAACTATCAGTTCACACCACAATTGGCATAAAGCCCAAGACATGACTGTGATCACTCATTCTGCTATGTCAAGTTGACTTCAGTAAGCACTGCCTAGCAAATTAGTAAACTTCTGAGCATATCTGTGGATGATTGACCGCGGTCCTAAAAACCAAGTGGGGAAACTCACCTCAAATGGGGGTGGCACCAGCCAACAAGCTTGTAGCCCGGGTGAAATCAAAAGGGAAAGAAGAAAGTGTTTCCTTTTCAGAAGAGCTGCAATCTTCACCACTACATTTGAACACTGATCTCCAGTCTCTTCAGCCATCCAACACACTCACACCAGTGATTCTACAGTGACTTTCGAGGCCTTCAACCTTTGACCAGCACTGGATCCTCTAGCTCTCCAGTACATAGACGGCCATTTTGGATTCCTCTGCTCCTGATTCTGCAGGCTGCCATCATGACTTTTCTGTGTCAGATTCTATAAGCCTATCTAATAAATCCCTTTGTGAAATTCTACATATATTTTATATTTATTCTGTTCCTCTAGGTAACCCTAATTACATACTCTTTAATTCTAATTATATAACATTCTCAATGGCATAATTATAGAGTTTGGGAATACTTGACAGATCTTACTGGGAAAGGAAAAGAGGAGAATATGATTATAAAATGGTAGCATTAGGGATCCTTGTGATGGAACAGTTCAGTAGGTGGGCTCTGGTGACTGCCACAGAAATCTACAGAAGAAATAATTTACAGCATGAATACACACAAGTGCAAATAAGTGTATGAAAAATTGGTGAAGTGTAAATGTTGAGACACATGAATTATATCAAAGTCAGTTTCTTGGTGAAGGCATTCAGCTATCAGCCATAGATCGAGAAGATGTTACAATTGGTAGATATTGGGTGAAAAGCATATGTGATCCCTTTGGTATTATATCTAATACTTGCATATTAATCTACCATTGTCTCAAAATAAAAAGTTAAAACAAAGAAACAAAACAAGCTAAGACTCTATGGAAAAGATGCTCACTTATCTTGTTTGGTGGAACCTAACTAATCCATGTCTTTGTAAAGTTTTTCAGGCAAATATAAGTGAATCTCAAATTGAAAATGATTGCTAGCTCATAATCCTACCATTCTACATGTATCTGGCATTTGCTTTAGTTTAATCTGAATTTTCTGTCTGAATACTGTTAATCTAAACACTATCTTGGATTACCTGGAGGTTTCTGTAAATTGAGCAATTGCAGTGGGATTGCTCTCTGCCATAGTTCAGGTTCAATGTCTTGGTTCATGTGATGGTCTAAACTTATTTGTCAACTTAGTTGGTTTGGGAGCTGCATATGGGATTAGTAAGGCACTCTTGGGTGAGTCTGGGAGGGTCTTAGAGATGCGACTTTGGGAACTATAGTTAAGTTCCAACATCTTCTCTGATGCTCTTTCCCTCCACTACTGTCCAGGTACTGTTAACTAAGCATCAGTGCTCTCCTACGTACATCTGCCATGATGTTTCTGCCTTGGAGCCAGCCAACCAAGGACTAAATTTCCTGAAACTATGAACCTCATTAAACCTCTCCTTCTTTAAATTGTGGTTTTTGGGAATCATGCACCAGGAAAAGGAAAGCTGAATAATAGAGTTCATATTACTTAAAGGCTGCTATTGTTTTAACAAACATTATTATCTTAGTTCAGTATTATTGTCAGTAATATGAATTAATATTTTAAGAAATTATACAAAATATACTAATAGATATTATTTCACAACAGTGTGAGCTCTTTTAAATAAGCTTGAAAATATTTTGATATGAGAATTTCAAATATGTTTACAATAAATTTTTAGAATTTGTTTTTTCACTACTTTCCCATATGAAGCCCACCATTAATTTAGTTTAGCCTCATTACAAGGCGCTTTAGTCTGAAATGTGGATATAGCTGTTTTTATACATTTTCAACTATTTTTCCTAACACAAGTTAGCTGGTTACTATAGACACAGCCAAATATTTTGAGCAAATAAAAGGGCAAATAAAAATGATAAAAGACAGGTCTCATTTGTACTAGGATACCTGAAATGAAAACTCATACATAAACAAAGTTCACGGTGTTTAACCCACTTGTTCCAAACCATTCCAGATTAAATAAAATTCTGCAACAACAGACGGGGCCCATTATAATCAAATCAGACTTGAGCTGTAAGCGGAAAATCAATCAGCATTTCACTTCCTCCTGTGTTGTTCTAGGCAACAGACATTGTGAAGTAAAGGCCCTGTCAGAAGAACTGGCAGACAATCATGGAGAATAATTCCAAAACCCACAGCTTCTTTGTCACAGTTACTTTTAACTGTACTGTTCATTTAGCTGACAGACCTCACTGACATAGGATGTAATAATCATTCCTAAGAGCATTTTTTTTTTTTTTTGGTGTCATGGGATTAAAATTGCTTTGTGTAACTGGGATAGTACTATAGTGACCACCATTGTTTTTCTCAAAGCACTGTCTTCCAACCAAGCTTGTGATACAGTCTATGTAAGCCTCACATAGCTAATGTCTTTAGTAGTAATTGATATCCTGGGTCACTGTTTTAAAAGCATTGTGATTACCCTTTCCCCTGAATACTAGGGAGGCCAAATGGCTAGGTAGGCATAATTGCACTGCTCTAGGGATGAATGCTGCGACTCAGAGCTGGAATCAAAGCTCAGAACTGAAAGCCAGCTGTGCCCACTATGTACCAAGTGTTCTTTTTTCATTATCATGTAATGTATTGTTCCGTATTTAAAGTTTGGTCTTGTGCTTTTGTCATTTAATAGCACTGGTAAATGAATCATTGGATTTATTTAAAGATGTATGTATTTAAGTGATTGAATGTTATAAGACTAAAAGCTAGCTAAGATACATGTTGCCAATACTGGACTTTCCTAAGAATATAGTCATTCCTTCTCAAAAAGTAACATTTTCTAATGATAATGTTAGGGGATTTTCTAACTCATCAATCTCCTTTCTTATTCTCGTGTACAAACTTTCATTAGAAGGTCCTGATTATAGCTCAATTTGAAAAATACTGGATTGCTTCTTGCCAGCTGAAACAGCCCTGGACAATGAACTATCCCATCCTCAAACAAAGGAATTTAAACAAGTTCACCCAGCATTCTGACCCTTGGTATCCAGTCACTCAAACCCAACCTATTTCTTTCTACACTTGTCTCACCTGGAAATCAGGGATCTGTTTGTCTCTTCAATAATTCCTGTAAAACCTCCACTCTTTCCTTTGTACCTTTTCAGAGAGGAACATATATCTAGTGCTCTTGGAGAGAGGTGGGAATAACCCCTCTCTCTTTTGGTCTTGCTTGAGATATACTCCCTTGTGAAGAGCCCTTTGAGGATGTATGAGAATGTTTAATGTTTTCTGACATTCTCCTTTGATCATTTTTCTCCTTGTGAGACTGCACTTCAAGTGATAAATCTTTGGAGGAGCAATTTGATGTCTGAGATTTTGAGTCTGAGAGGAATTTGTCTCTGAAATAATAAAAGACACCAGGGACACAGCCAAGAGAAAGCAAGCCAGAAGTTAGAGGACTGGAAATGCTAACCCAAGGTCATTTTTCTAGACTGTTTTAGGACTGAGCTTGCCTTGGTTTTGTCAGTATCTCCCTGTTTTCTTTGATTTCACATAGCTAGATCTTCAAACATCAGTGTCTAGAAATTGCCTCAGGAGTTATTTACTTTGTCAGTTCCTGAGCCTTCTCTACGGAGATTCCAATCCAGCATGGATGGTATATATATAGTCCTTCTTACCTAGGGTGAGCAAACAATTCTTGGGTTGTAGAGATGTGGTCCATAAAATCATTGAATGTAATAAACAAGATCTATGTCTCTAGTGTCCTAATAAAAATGAAAGCATTGTTCTAAGACTAACGTCAGTAATTTAGTAGAGTGTAACTCATTTCCTATAGAATAGCGTCTTCTCTTGAGGAGCAGGGAAGGTTCTTTCTCTTTCTGCTCATCTCTGCCAAAGCCATTGCATCAGAAATCCAGGCTTATATCTCATTTCCTTCTTACAGACATTTAGGGAAAGAAGAAACTTTATCCTTATTAAATCAACTGCCTTATCTTACTTGCAAAAATACCATGTTTTTCTTCCACTAAGATTGAATGATATGAAGAGCTGAGATTCATTGATTTCTTATGGATATTCTAAAATGATTAATTGAAAAACATTTTCCCATTGCAATGATTCAGCTCTTTTGTTGAAAATTAAAAGATTGTGTAAATGGAACTATTTTGGGGTTCTTCAATTCCATCAGCTTTTGTCCTTTCTCCATTAACTCTCTTTTTCATGATATACAACCCAGTAATGATACTCTAGCTAATAGTACTCTGAAGTGCAGTTGTATAAATTTTCCAAGTTTTCTTTATTTAGAATTCTAGGTCCTCTTGTTCTGTATAGGTTTCAGAATAAGTCTTTCAAGTTACGTAATAAAGAAAACAAAAACTTGTTGCAGTTATAAATGGAATATGTTGAATTTACAGAACAACTTGGGAAAAACTAACATCTTTACAACATCGGAATTTTACAATCCACAAACTTGTTTTATGTTTTTAAATTTCCACTTGTTTATGTACTAAGTAATTTCTCTAAGCAATGTTTTCAGTAGAGCTCACAATTGTTAAATCTGTTTCTTAATATTTTTGTAGTTTTTGACACTTCACTATTTGGGATTTTTAAATATTTAATTTCTAAATACTTGCAATTATAACTACGTGGCATTAAAATGCATATGATTTGTTTTTAAATTAGCTTACACCCTGAGAACTTTTAAAATTCACTCCTAGTTCAAGTACTTGCTTGGTAGATCTTTTAGGAACTTCTGAATACATAATCATACCATGAACAAATACAGAAATATATTCTTTTCTTTCCAATCTATTGATTTTCTTTATCAAAATTGATTTCTATGACTAGTCTCACCAGTGCAACGCATAATGAAGAAGGCAAGAATGGATATCCATGCCTTATTTTCATTTCTGGGCAGAAAATAATTAATATTTCATCATTTATTATGCAGTTAACTCTAGGTTATTCATAGATGACCTTCAGGAGATTAAAAGATCTTTCTCCAGTTATGTTTTAAAATTTTTTATTATGAATATCAAATGTTTTATGATATCTAGTGAAATTATCATTGATTATTTTCCACTGATTCTCTTAAGATAATACATGAAACTGATCGATTTTTAAAAGTTAAACTAACCCGCACTCCTGGGATAAAGCATATAAATGTGTTCTAAAAATTCTTGTATTTATATTTTTTAAAAACATTGGTTTGTAAAAAATAATTTGAGGTGTTCCTACTATTATTATACAATTACTAGGAATTAATTAAGTTATATTATCAGGATGATGTCAGCTTAATAAAATGAGTTAGAGATTATTCATCAGTCCTCTAATTTTCTGACAGGGTGTCAGAAAGCTTTACTTCCTTAAATATTTTATAGAAATCTGTAGTAAGTCATC